TGGTGGCAGCTGAACCAGTCCTCAAAAAGCAGATGTACAGCTGGAGTGTTCTTTTGGGAACAAGGCGGGAACAAAGCCAATGTGGCTTCTCTGGAAGAGCACCAAATGTGCAGTCCTAGGAGCACAGCTGCATGATTTTGACAACTGAGGAACTGCCACCCCCCCCCCACTCACCATTAACTTGTCACAGCCACACACGTGCCTTCCTGTCATTTCTTCATCTGACACCATGAGACTGGGAAGGTGGCAGCAGTAAGTCTCTTTTTACACAATCACTGACTGGCCTCACCCCATACCACTGGCCACTGGATATGACAACATGGCTCCAAGCCACCAGGCTAAACCAGTTGTCTCTCTAGATCTTTCCTCAATTAATATGCACTGTGTTCTTAGCCACTCCTTTAGCCTCTAAAGCCTCACTTTCTCCCATTACTTAGATGAATTTATAGAGGCCAGTTCAAGTTGATTTCTGTATCCTTAGCGTAGAATGTTCAGTGAGTGGAAAATGTTTCTTCAGATGCACACTGGGAATAATTAAGTGTTAGATAGTAATTCATCAAATATGCAACTAACATCTATGTAACGTCTGCGTTGTGTATTTCAGTGTGTGGAGCTCACTGTGAAGGTTTCAGATTGCTCAAGAGGTTTGTGTCGCTGAAAAGTTAATAATGATTAGTTCATATTTTAAATGACAAATGCTTGCTCATTACTTGGGACTTTTTCATAACAGAAATTAAACACAACCAAGGTATAAAAAGTGAACTTATTGAGATATTAGGTTTGAGGAGTAGTAGATTGAATGTTAGTAAAAAATGATGTGGACTTTCCTTGCCAGAAGGAAATCCTTCTGGAACCTTCCAGCTTACAAAGCATTATCCTGACAAGGAAATGTTACATAACCCCAAACTGACCATTATCTGGTTATTTGCGGAGGCAGAAGCTGCCAGACTCTCGAAATGGTCATTTCTGATTCCCAAAGGTGGAAATAGTAAATAAGCAGTTAGGTCTACACTCTAAAGTATGGAATGGGAAAAGATTGAAGATCATTTGCTTCCCAGTTTATCCGGCTTTACATATTGGTGAGCCGCCCACCGATACAACATACTTCGTGTAATTTTCTTCATCACCGAGGCCCTGTCTCCCGCCTGTGTGTAATAACAACAGATCTATAACTTCAAGGGAGTTAGCATCCTATTTTCATTCTCACAGTTAAAGGATTTCAGAGCTTGTGCTTTTCCCTCGGTGATTAGTTCCATCTGCCTGCATCTGAACAGCAGAGAGCATGGTTCTGTGGGCCAGGGCATCTGTGTTCAGGAGATGGAGTTACCGCCCGATAATCCTCCCAGCTTCACACACTAGCAGCTTTAAATTGTTCAGTATTTTAGAAACACCACCATCCCGCATATTAAATATTAAAGGCCTCCCTCGGCGCCCGAACCTTAAAGTTACTCTCTGTAAAATCTGCGCGAGTGTTTCCATGGTGCAGAAAGAACGTTGCAGCGAGGTTTTTTGGAAGCAGCGTGGCTATAAACGTCATTCCCGCCCCTGCGGTTCACAAGGGCCCATTTGCTGTGAAATATTTTGGAAACACAGCAGAAGCGGGGACAGCGCCGAGCGCAAACATGCAACAACGAGAACGAGCCGAACGTGATGCAAGGACGGAGGGGGCGACAGCGGCAGGGAGGGACGGGGCGGGGGGGGGGGGGTGGGGGGGCCCCACGG